TCTGCTAACAAGTCATTTTGGCGTATAATGCGGTTTAATCAACGGTCTAAATCTTGCACTTCACTACTTTTAACATCTTGTCACTGCCAGTAGGACAGCTCAAAATATCATTACACATGGACCAATGCTCGTATTCCGTTCTGTTCGAACACTTTATTTCCACACACAGGGCGGCTCTGGTGGCATATTTGGCATGTCCCAAATATTTACGCTTATTTACACTTTGATTGCACGTATTTTGCGTGCATTCCGGCCAGGTCATGTTCTAGCCCGATTAACGTATGAAAAACAGGGACCCGAAGATGCAGCCGAAGCCGACCAGCCTCTTGGTAAAACATGTCATCACCATCAGCATCTCCACACAAATGATGGTGGGCTGCAGAATCATCCCGCTCAGCTGCACAAAGTGTGGTGATCGGCACGTGACCAGGACAAAGTACAATATATTCTGAGAAATCGACAGAATGTTCGAAATAACAACGTGTATCAGCAAACGGGAACCGTGCACGCCAAACGTGGGCTGGAGAGCGTCCAGTGGTATTATTATCATTGGCCAGTACAAAAGGAGCGTAAGTATTCCCGTCGTGCCAAGATAATGGCGCATGAAGGAGAGATCGCTGAGCTGCTGCTCAGTCACATTTTTTTTGTTAATTTTATGCACGAAGGATTGAATGAATGTTTGCATGTAATTTGATGTTGCACTGAACCGACCGGGAGCGGTTGGCTGTTTAAATGGCCGTATGTTCCCAATTTCACCTTCGTTGTGACGATGAATCTCGACCAAATCGAATTTATGTCGTTGATCACCGTTCATTGTGTTATCTTCGCTCCCGTCCCGTACATTCTCCCGGCCAGCTAACACCTCATGATCGGTTACGTTTCTGATTTTATGCTCGTTATTCAAATGAAATTTGAAATCCACAGCTTCAACATCCCCATAGATCGTGTTCGCTGCACAATTATCCTTTGCTTGGCAGCCAGCAGATTTTCGTTTCTCTTCTCTGTGCAGCCTGTCCGCACATTTTGTGCACATTCCTTCGCTCTCCACACGCTTTTCACTATCCACACTCTTTTCACTATCCACACGCTTTTCGCTCTCCTCACGCTTTTCGCTCTCCTCACGCTTTTCACTATCCTTACATTTTCTCTTTTCGTCATCATTTCCCTCCGCATTACTTGACCCGTTCACCTCCCCGGTTGTTCCATTCTGAATTTGCAATACTGCATCGATTGAAGATCCTTGACTCGTTGTTAGGAAACCATTCTTGTCCTTCAGTCTACACAGCAATTTAACGCTTCCTCTGTCGTAAATATGCGTATCTCTCTTTTCCCTACCGCCATGCGTCCGCTTATCCCCTTCATAATGCTGATCCTTCTCCAAATTCTTCATTATGAGTGCATGATCGATACAACACTCTTTATCCAGTCCGTCTGTGCCGTTCCTTTCCCTTTCTGATCGGTTGTTGCGATACGGCCGTATTTCCATAAAAATTTTCATGAAAACAGTGTAGAAACCGCTAAATATCGATCCAACAAACAAAAGCAATGCAAGCAGCCACCTATCGGCCGTTCCGCACTCCTCTTTAACCAGCAGAAACACACCAAATCCAGCAACAAGCGTAACTATGACACCAACACCCGTCATCTTCTTCCGTTTGGTCATCACGCACAGCCAGTGCGTAGCGATAACGCTCAGACAGGAAAACGACACGATGAAGAGGTCAGAAAACTTGTTGAGCGAGAAGTACTTTGGTATGTGCGACAGGTTGAAAATGAACGAAAGGATGAACGTGAACAGCAAAAATGTGCCTGGTGGCACGCCCGTGTCCCTGTAAATGCTCCCCAAGTAGTTCTTCTTCATCGTGAACACGTCCTGTACCACAAGAAAAGACACCACAGAGTGTGTTATGTACGTAATGAGCAGAGGTGATATTACACTGCTGGTTGATGACGAGTACATCAGTTTTGCATTGTAATACGCGAACAGTTCCAGGGTCAAACGTATGGAGACCAGGAATACGTCTGTGATGTTCATGAGCCACATTTTTTTTTTCGCTTTTATATTTGAGTGATTGGTTCGGTGATGTAGGAAAGAATGAATGATCGAAGAAGCACCTTATTCGATTGGTCCAGCGTGTAATGATGGATGTTTGAAACTGCAACTTGTGATTGGCATTTTAGAGGTGCATGAGAACGTGTGATGGCAACAAGCAGGGACGGGATGAACAATCTTAGGGAGGTATTGATGCGAATGTTGAGTGACTGGTTAAAAGGGGGTGAACCTTGGCGATGTGCCAGATGAAAAGGGGATGGACCTTAGCGATGTGCCAGATGAAAGGAGGATGGACCTTGGCGATGTGCCAGATGAAAAGGGGATGGACCTTGGCGATGTGTCAGGGCCGTTCACCATCTCTGGCACAGGACCACTGCCAGTCAAGGTAAAAATTCAGATTTGTGCCACAGTCGATCACACCGCTTCAGCACTACGCACGGTGTTGTAACGGTATGAACAAACCGCTGTAAACGCTCAAGGTTCAACGGCTTGCCGCTTAATCACGTGGCAGGGAGCAGATGAACAAGAGCGTAGCTTACCGACCGCAAGATACATCGGTAAAATGCACCGCGCGGCCCGATAAACGTTCGCGAAGGGGGAGGGTGTATACCGCGAGCGGAGCAATTGCTGTACAAAATGGAATCGCTAGCGGCTGCTATGCTCTCTGCTGAGCACACGCCTAACGAAAAATGGGTGGTTCTCAGTTACGAGAGAAAGCCGCAAACAGCTTAAATGAAGGTGCGTTCGCAACCTTTCACAAACAAAACGTGTCATCCTAAATAAGCAGGTTTACTCCGCAATCTCAGCCTCCTTGCCCACCGGTATTCCCCATGTGCTCATCATAGTCTCATACTTCTCAACAAACAGTGAGTTGCACCGCTTTATGATGCTGTCAAACTTCGTCCTCTTGTCCGATCCAACACCGCAGAGACAGAGGGTCGTGGCGCTCTTCCTGTCAACGATGCGCCCCAAGTCGTACTTCGACTTGACAAACGCGTAGCTCACGCCCATCTTCCTGCACAACGTGGGCAGGAACAGCACAAGCTCGACAGGATCAACATCGCACGCTATAAGCACCAGCTTGGCCCTTCCCTGCTCTATCAGGTCTGTTACGTGGCGTATACCGCTCTTAACTATGACCGGCTTGTCTCCCACCCGGCCATGCTCCTCCTCTCTCTTCAGTCTTTCTCTCCTCTCCTTCCTGTTCTCCGGTTTGTAGCACATGAAAAGATTCTGCACCTCCTTGAAATCATCATCGCTCAGGCAGTTCTTGAACTGGTTGAGCGCAGGCGGCATCTTCAGAGCATCCACCAAAGCAACCTTACGCGCCTGTATCACCTCCTCACGGAACTCTTTCTGCGATTTGTGGTGAAGATTCTTTGGATTGGTGCGGAGCAACCGCTTCTTGTAAATTGCTGGGGGGAGTGCGGACTTGTCGGGCACTTTCAACAGGGCTTTCTTCATTTTCAAGGGCAAATTTTTTTGCAATGAATAAAACAAAAACGACCGCAGTGAACGGAAGAACAAAACAGCGGGTGTGTTCGCAGAGATTGTGTGGGAGGGAGCCAACATTGAAAAAATAGCAAATAATGAAACGTACATGACAAGCACATCGGGTGAGTAAGAAAAGCACTGAAACCGTGTTGTAGAACCTGGTGCGATCTATGTGCTCGTAGAGTGTGCTGTACGGTTTCAGATAAATTGCTTGCACCAGTGCATGCTTTTAATTGATGTACCACGTTGATGTAGGATCTAGGAGAGAAGCCGTGTACAACAAAATACGGTAAACCGATGTATGACACCATGCAGCGGTGCTATTTGCAAGGCTTGTAGGTGATCAAAAATACATTTTGCCCGTTACCATCCTCTTTCCATGCATCCACCATCAGAGTTGAACCTTGGATCACATCGTGCGCGATGTCGCAACGTTGGTACGGTCCCATTCCCGTGCATAACGCTCTCTGCTTTAACCCTGTCTTGTCCTGATCCGTAGATGGAGCGTTCGACTTTGCTTGATGGAGCGTTCTACCTTGCTTGATGGGGCGTTCGACTTTGCTTGATGGAGCGTTCTACCTTGCTTGCTGGAGCGTTCTACCTTGCTTGATTGTGCTCACCGTAACGGAACGTATCAGTGTCGATGTACCGCCTGTATCCTTCCAAATCATCCGCTAGCTCTTCAATTACTTCGTATTCACCGAACATTTTCGCCCGTTCCTCGTAATGAACCAGGTTTGTGCCGTAATTCCTCTTCATGTCCTTCAATGCCCGCTTATCACCCTCCATAAAAACGTAGTTCCTGTATTTTCTACCAAATCTACATTTCTTAAACTTGGGATTCCTTACAATCATCAAAAAGTTCTTTTTTCGGTTTAATACTTTGCTCTTTGGTGGAAACGGAATGTCTAAGAGCGTGTGGCGGCGTATCAATCGCTGTTTCTCCAAGTTTTTCAACCTTTTTCTTCTTTTCTCTTCCTTCACGGTCAGCATGCCGATTAGAAAGGGCTGTGATCGGTGAAAATTAAGCATGGCGCACCAACGGCAGCGTAAAGTTCTATTTTACCGCTGAGTGCTCGATTTTTACCCATTTCGTTTTATACGGCACATATGGCAAACTCTTAACGTGCAATTGCGCTATTGTCAGCTTAGAAACGCTCAGTTCGTTGCCAATGCATTCTTGCAAAGTGTAAATCTGTGGTCCTGAAGAACTTCGTTTGTTACGGCAACCTCACAAAATCGTGATTTATCGAACAGTTGTGTGCTCCGTTGCGTAAGATCCCACAGCAATCACGGCTGCAGCATACACCTCGCCAGGTAAATTACAAGCATGCTCACCAAATATGCTAAAACCTATGATTTATACGTTTATTTAATATCAATTCATTCTCTATCACCTTTCATCCATGTTAAAAGATGCGTCTAGCCCGTTGTATCTGCTCGTACAAGGGCCCGCTTAGAATTGCAATCGTTAAAAATTTTTAAAATCCTTGCCCTTAAGAAATGAACGTGTCTCTGAAGGACCTTCCCCCGTATTCATACACAAGCAGAGAAGAGTACTCTCGCAAACTGCAGGGCCTTAAGGAGGCGCAGCAGCAGGCATACCAGGAGAGAGTCGAAAAGAACAAGGAACATGCACTCAACAGAGTGATGCAAATTACAGCAGAATACAAGAAATCGGAATTGGACAAGGATATGAAGGAGAAGCAGGCAGCAATAACCAACAAGCTGTACGTGTCCGGTGACCCGCAGTTCTTCGTCGTAATTCTCATACGTTCTATGATACGCATGCCCGCCACGTTGAAGAAAATATGCGAACTCTTCAGGCTCAAGAAGATAAACACGCTCGTGATCGTCAGGAACAACGAATCAAACCGTAGAATGCTGCAGAAGCTGCGCAATTTCATTGCGTACGGGTTCATTGATGTTAATTTGCTGAGGGCACTGATCTATAAAAGAGGATTGGGACGAATTGATAACAAGGCGGTTAATCTGACAAACGAGAACATTGAGGATGTTTTTGAGGGTGAGCTGAGGTGTGTGGAGGAGATTGTGTATCACATCCACTACGGCACGGAGCATTTTAAGGTGGTTAACAATTTCTTGATGCCCTTCGGGCTGAACTGTCCTAAAGGCGGGTTCAGGGGAAAGAAGAACAGAGATTATGTTGAGGGAGGATGCGCTGGTAACTGGTACAATGAAATTGGTGCCCTGGTGAAGAGGATGATCGATTAAACAGTGATTTAAAAGAATGTTCTGTGCGTTTTTGCGCTGTTCTTGGAAATGTGTATCAATGGTTCGCCGAGAGATGCAGGGTACATCAAAGGGTCTATGACCGTTTATACGTGCTACAATACCAAAATATGTACGTGTTGCTGTTCAGAAAAAGCACCATGCCTTGCAAAATACGTCTAAACGCGCCGTTGTTCCAAGTCAAGCACGTATTGGTGCCATGGTGTGTTTCATTGTTCTTGGCTGTGGACCTGCCACAGCGCATATTACCGTAGGGCATATCACCACAGTGCATAGTTCATGGCAGTGGTATGTTCAAGAGCACAACATCACCGTATAACGTACGATTGCGCGCCACAGCTGAGCAGCTCTCGATCCCTTTATTAAAAGGAGCATCAAATCGTACAAATCAATCAAAAACTCACTCAGCACACCCGTTACACCACATTGCACCAATCAGCACGGCAATCCTTCCCTCCAATACGTAACACCGTTCCTCATCAATAACAAATCTTAAATAAAACAAAAAACGCACCCCTTAATGCAAATATTCGTTAAGACACTCACGGGTAAGACCATTACGCTTGAGGTCGAGCCTTCAGACACGATAAGTAATGTAAAAAATAAAATTAAGGACAAGGAGGGCATTCCTCCTGACCAGCAGCGGCTTATTTTTGCGGGCAAGCAGCTTGAGGATGGACGTAGTCTGAGTGATTACAACATACAGAAGGAGAGTACGTTGCATCTTGTGCTTAGGCTGAGGGGAGGACGTGTTTAAATAAAGATGATCGGTTTGGACGATGTTTAGGCTGAGGGGAGGACGTGTTTAAATAAAGATGATCGGTTTGGACGATGCTTAGGCTGAGGGGAGGGTTAGTGTTGGTACGGTTCTTGTTGCTGGCCGTATTGGTCCTGCATTCGATCGGTTGATACGGTTTTGGTCCCTGGTATTTACCACGGTTACTTATTGCATTGTGCTGCTCGTAGCGTGCAACGCCAGCCCTCTTTCAACATGGTTCACGGCACTGTCCCCTTTGATGTGCTCCTCATCGTGCGCTGAACGTAAACTTTGCTCCCTTCCGTGCAATTGCTGAGTCTTTGACATTTATTAAATTCTTTTATGATACGATGCATGTGTTTGATCAGGAGAGTTGCTGATGGAGTGTTCATTTATTTTGTGCCGTTTTTATTGCACCATGATTCGTGCTCAGCTCGCTGATGGTGCATTGCTTATTTATGCACGGTGAGTGCTACTTATAATAATTGTTTGTTGTGCTACTTATGGTAAGCGTTTGTTGTGCCATTGATTGTTAAGTCCTTGTTTATGCTGTTAACTATTGAATCGCTATTTATGCACGAATCGTTCCAAATATGCTGTTAACTATTGAATCGCTATTTATGCACGAATCGTTCCAAATATGCACCCATCCTTTTACCGCGACAAACACGCCCAACAACATTCGTATATTCGAGAGGTACCCGTGCCATCCACAATCGCTCACCAAACAAACTGGTCCTTTATTTTAATTTCATTATCCATGCCCATAATGAAAGACACATCATCAGACAAGAAGAAGAGCGATGAGAAGAACAGCGTGTACGTGTTTAAAAATACGAAGAAATACGAAGAGAGCGGAGGTACGGTGAACGGTTACGGGTTGAACGATAGGCTTGGTGGATCGTGGAGAGGTAGCACGGTCAAGAGTAGCAGGGAATGGAACAAAAAGAGCGGTCATGAAGAGACACACGATGGCAGTAAATACGAATACAAACAGAACAGTAGCTTTAACCGTTCTGATAAGCAGCGTGCACGTGATCAGCCATGCATTAACGAACAGCTACAAAATAATAAAAATAGCATTAATGCGCATAAAACAATGATCGATAATAAGGAAGGGAACGGAATGCATGAAATAGACAGGGACTGTAATGCAGTGCAGGGAAGTACAACGAATGCTGTGGAACGTGGTGGAGAAAGAAAAACGTTTAGCTGGCGCACTGAGAAAGAGCCGAGGGACGGCAGAACGGGGAATGGTAAGGTGTGGTACGAGATGAGCGGGTATAAGAGCGGTAGCAAAAGCATAAACGAAAACGACGGGTGTAAAGGCAGCGATACCGATAACAGAGGAAGTAGCGGTGTTAAAAATAGAAATGGCGATCACGCAAGAGACGATACCACGGATATTAGCCCTACTACCAGCGGTGAACCGCTCGTTGGTAATGAAGACAGGCAAAGAATGAATTATGCACAGGGAAAGGGACAAAGAACGGAAAGGAATGGGCGGTCTTGTTGGAAAATGAGAGGTGATGAGGATGGATTGAATGGGCAATGTGGTGTAGATGACAAAGAAAGGGATGGCCATGTTTATAGGCCGGTTACGGGGGGTAACGCTCACGTACGATCTGGTGCGTGGAGGTTAGAGGGAGAAAGGAATAGAAAAGTATGGGGAGAAGGAACCGAGGAGGGTAACAGATCATGCGATGATAGGGCAGGCCCTGTTAATAAATTGGGGAGTAGATCGGATGGAGGCACGTTCTATAGCCCTAAGGAGGCGTACGTCCCTAAGATAAACGGTGCTTTTAGGGGTGGACGTTACGGGCAGAGCGAAGGTGACAGGTACGGTGAGACAGACAGAACAAAACCGGGTGCACGTTACGGGCAGAGCGAGGGTGACAGGTACGGTGAGACAGACAGAACAAAACCGGGTGCACGTTACGGGCAGAGCGAAGGTGACAGGTACGGTAAGCGATCGGGTGCTCACTCGTACAGGACACACACGAGCAGCACGGGGAAAGGGCGGTCTAAGCAGTTCGTGTTTCCTTCCACGTACAAAACAACGGAAGAGTACGTAATAACATCATCTCATCCGTTTATGCGCATAAACACAGACGGAAAGATAAAATACAACACCTTGCAGAGGTACGCGATGCATTACATCGGTGAGGGCAAGCACATGATACTGCGCGCACCCACCGGCACAGGAAAGACCCTCACCTATCTCCTACCGATCGTATCAAACATTGAAAAGGTGTTCGTTTCACAACGCGTCATAAAATTGCTGGTGGTAGTACCTACACGAGAATTGGCAGCGCAGATTGTTACTGAGGTGAACAAAATAAGCAATTTAAGCGTGAAAATGGTAATTGGTGGCGGGGAGTACGGCATGGATGGCAATGTGGTGGTGGCAACACCGGGCAGACTCATAGACACGTTAAGCAGATACTACCGGTATAATCGCAGCAGTGCTGGCGGTGTACACCCCCTTTTAGCGCAGCTCAGTGCTGTTGTTCTCGATGAGGGTGATACGATGTTTGACCTAGGATTTAAGCATGATATAGCATCCATACTGTCACAGGCACACCGTGATGTACAGCTGGTGGTGGCGAGTGCAACGTACAACAAAGGTATAATGGAGTGTATAAGGGATTGGCGGTGTGATTGGGTGTATCTTTGTTTTGAGATGGACGGGATGGTTGAGCAGAAGGTTGTGCTGGTGATGGATAAATTTAAGGAGCTGGTGAGGGTTATTGGGGAGTATTGTGGAGGCGATGATCGTAAGGGTAGGCGATTTGATGATGGGCTAGGTAGCAGGGAGATGAGTGGTAGGTACGGGGGTAGGGAACAGAACGATGCGTTTGGTTATGGAAATACCATGAAATACAGGGGGTGTAGTGCAGCCGTGGTTGAAAGCCCCGCTAAAGAACAGCATGCCCATGCAAACGCACCTAATGATGTATGTAAAAAAGAACAGAACAATAAAATACTCGTGTTTGTGAAGAGGAAGCGTACAGTCGATGTACTGGCCAATTCCTTGCCCTTTATGCTTACGTCTCTGCACGGCAGCATGCCACAGCACCAACGCACCGCCAATCTCGCACTGTTCCATGCAAACGTGAACATCCTTGTCGCGACGAGCATAGCTGCACGAGGCCTGCACATCCAGAACGTAAACCTGGTCATAAATTACGATCTGCCGGACAACATCGATGAATACGTGCACAGGATAGGACGGACCGGTCGGGGCAAGAAGGGCACGAGCATCAGCTTTTGGAACGGTGATCTGCTTGGCAAGTACCTAGCAAAGTACTTGGAGCATTGTGGATGTGATGTGCCCGGCTTTCTTAAGGGTGAACGGGTGGCAGAGCATGAGGATGTGAGGAAGCGTTTTGAAATGATGAGATTTGCTGATGAGAAGAGCGGAGATAGTGAGGAGGGATGGGATGATTTTGTTGAGGGGTGAACGGTGAGAATAAATTGTTTGGATTAAAGGTGGTTGATCGTACACCGTTGCTGTTTTTAGACTGTTTTGGGCTGAGCATGCTCAACCGATCGTGCACCCTTGCCACTTCTGTTCAGTTTTGATCCTTCAAACGAGCGGTTTATTCGTTTGGTTTGCGGAGGATCAAGAAATATGAGTTTTGTCTTTCTGCGTATTACCGTTCAGATGTAAGTGCCCTTTTCTGCACGCAGTTTCTGTTTGCGGTACCGGTTGTGCCGTGCTTAACCTCAATTCACCGCATCGATAGTTTTTTTATTACTTCATTCATTGCACGGTGAACTATGAAATGTTAAAATTATGAATGAACGCTATTTTATCATTTGTTGCGCCTTGAACGATGGCTAAAATGAAAAATGATTAATTGCGATTTTGTGCCTGCAACAGCACTGGGGTGTGTGCGGTGACGTGAATGGATTGATTGCTAATATTTGTTAAATTATTGGAGCAGCCTAAATTACTGCTTTGTAACCGGCAGGACAGCCAAACTGGTGTAAATTTGCACTGGAACTGACCAATCATTCCTTTCGGTGTTGTTGAGGAACGGGTTCGCACACAAACTTGGCATGTACGTCTGTTATAGCCCTTTTAGGGAGCGAACCAAGATGCCTCTGAATGGCAGGTAGGCGATTCAATTTGTGCAATTTATCACTGTGATGGTTCGTGGTGTTCAACAAATGGAGTAAATTGCGTTGCACCCCCATGTTAGAGAACCGTATTGAGCACCTACACCGTTCAGCACGCCACCCCAGGGTTGTTCTGTACCTGTCACGCCGTGACAAGCGAATAGTGGACAATGCTGCACTGTTCTACTGCTACACCCTTGCTGACCACGTGATATTTGGCGTAAAACCTGAGTACATCGTAGGCAATCACATGCAGCGCAAATTTATAGCTGAGGGATTGGCTGAGCTGAAGCAGTCATGCAGGCAGCACAACATACCATTTGTACTAATACACCGTATTGATGAGCTGGTGAGCACCTGTAACGTAGAGTGCATAGTACTGGATCATTCACCGCTGCGGTATGCACGTGCAGTTGATGATCAGCTGCACGAATACTGCAAGCGTAGGGATATTGCGCTTGTTAGAGTTGATGCCCATAACATTGTGCCGTATGGCGTGGTAAAAGATGATGTGAAGAGCAGCTCAGCGGTTAAGAAAAGATTGTTGGAAAGTTTTGGAAGATTTGTTGATGAGAGGTATGAGATAGGGAGAAGGGATAGCGCGTGGATGAGTGATGAAGGGATGAACGATTTGGAAGGCATTGAGTTGAGGATAAAGGATAATCTTGAAAATGATGAGGAAGATGGGAGTAGTGAGGAAGAAGGAGGGAGTAGTGAGGAAGAAGGGAGTAGTGAGGAAGAAGGGAGTAGTGAGGAAGAAGGGAGGAGTGGGGAAGAAGGGAGTAGTGAGGAAGAAGGGAGTAGTAGGGAAGAAGAGAGTAGTAGGGAAGAAGGGAGTAGTGAGGAAGATGGGAGTAGTGAGGAAGATGATGAAGAAAAAGATGAGGAAGATGATGAAGAAAAAGATGAGGAAGATGATGAAGAAAAAGATGAGGAAAATGATGAAGAAAAAGATGAGGAAGATGATGAAGAAAAAGATGGGAATGGTAACAAATGCAGCGGTGGAAAAGGAGATACTGAATCGGTTGAAGGACGGAAGAGTAAACGAGGCCGTAAACCAAAAGAAAAAGCAAATAAAACACCGAAAGATACGGTAACAAATACTGGTACGGGCCGAAAACGCAGCAAGGACGTAAGACCTGTCAAGGCGGGCGCAAGCAAAGATAACGAAAAAAATAGTAAAAAATTGGAAGGCACCATGTGCTACGGGAGCAAAAAAATGGGAGACAGACTAAAAGTAGTGAAGCAGCGCACCAACATGTACAAGGCAGAGATAAAACGAATCATAGAAAAACACGATTTGCACTCGCAGTACGCATCCAGCTTAACGGGCGGATACTCCAACGCATGCCATACACTCAGCAATTTCATGAAGAACAGCCTAATTATTTACGACAAGTACCGGAACAGTGCCGACCAGAATGTGTTGAGCGGTGTATCAGCGTACATTAATGATGGACAGATCAGTGCGGGCGACGTGGTACGTGCTGTCATACAGTGGGGTGAAGGCGGTGACAGAAGCGCGAAGAGGCGCAAAACGGGCAGCTCTATTCGTGCAATAACCGGCAGCGCAGACTCAAAGGATGAAAAGATGGTAAACGTAACCACCTATCTCAACGAGGTCTTTATATGGCGGGAGACCGCAGAATACTTCATAACACGCAATGCTAACTACGACAACTTCTATGGCGCGCTGAAATGGGCGCAGGACACGTTGATGGCACATCTCTCCGATCCCCGCGAGCACTACACGCTCGAGCAGCTTGTTCTGGCACGCACTTCGGATCCTGAATGGAATGCTGGGCAGAAACAAATGGTGATAACCGGCAAAATGCACGGCTATGTTCGAATGTACTGGGCAAAAACCATGTTGCACTGGTTTGATCGGCCTGAAGATGCGGTGAGTGTTGGATGTCTGCTCAACGACACGTTCAGCCTGGACGGAAATGATGGAAACGGGTACCTGGGTGTTATGTGGTGCATGGTTGGCACGATGGACCAGGGATTTGCTGAGAAAAGCGTACTGGGAAAGATCAGAAGTATGAAAGGTATCAAAGCAAAGGATTACGTGCGCAAGTGGGAGGGCTATCGATTGGGGAGGTAAAACGAGAAATAAACTGTGTGCTGGTGAAGCGATAAAATGCCGTATAACGTGCCTGTAAGGGGCTGCTCGCTAAACGCAGCTACGGTCCTGAACGTATTTTGATCAAACATTCTCTACACCACATCCTTGCAGGTACACCTGGCCAGATGTGTCCATGAGGGACATACCAGGGATGGCACAGACTGTCGCTCCGTGTCCATCTCATGCAACCCTCTCTGAGAAGGTATTTTCAGTAAAATGAGCGGTATGTCCTTTTCTTGAGGTTTTCCAAGACCATTTTTATTTTATAATAGCTGCGCTATTCTCGTTTATAAAACGGAAAAAGTTGCAATGCCCATTAAATGATGTTTTTCTCTTCTATATGTCGTATTATGTTTTTTCTATTGTTTAAAATCTTATGGTAGGGGTTAATTAATTAGCTACTATTCGGTGATCATGTGATTTTATTATTGTAAGTAAATGATGACTAAATGCGTCTCAGAAAAAATGAATTGCAAAACATTTTTGGACTCTTTGTTCAGTGCAAATACGTGAAACAAATTTTTTTATTTTGTCGAAGGCTCAAATAATTTATTTCCTTCACTGACCAATCAGCTTTCGAGTTGTCTTTTATCTACATGAAAATGAATGAATGCTGTTCATCAGATAATTTTACTACGGTGTAGGCAAACATTAACGGACTAGCAAAACGGTGTAAAGGTTCATTAGCAGGCGAATATGAGCAACGTTACCTGCAAAAGGGCCAAACCATGCCACATGTGTAAAGAGCTGTTCCATGATAAATTTATAACCCTTTCATTTGTACGAGTAGGTCTTTCTCTGGCTGTAGAGAAAAAAGGAGGGCGCCATGGCGTGTGCTCTGCTCTTCGATCAAAAATTACTAATCGTTACGAACATGACCAAAAAGCACGTCCTTATCCGATGGTTGCTCAGGTGTAGGTGCGTGTGGGGAAAAGAGCGTACTTTTAGTGAAAAACCGCATGCTCATACTTTAAAGCGGCCTGTCACGTATTTTACACCATGCACAGCAGTTAAATCACTCCTTTGTATTTTTCTAATTCCCTCCCAACTCCGCACAAAATTCTTCGCCCCTCATGCAGCACAACTTCAGCAGGGACACGCGCTTCAAGCAGCTGCCCGAGAACATAAAAAAGCGGTTGATAACCCTGTACAACAAAACCAAGCAGCGCAAGGACATCAAGACTGAAGATTTGGACACGTCCATTTTTTCAACACTCAGCACAAAACTGACAGGTGTGCACAGCTACGAGCTGACGAAGAATTATGGGTTGCTGGTTGATGCTGGCGAGTATTACAGGGAATGCAGGGACAAGAACTGCAAGATGGACGGTGCAGATGGGCAGAGAGAGATAGAGGATATGTGTAGAATCTACAATGAGAGCGTTAATGGCAGGGACGTGCTGGGAGAAATGATTGAGTGTGTGTGTTTGATGAGCGGCAAGTTCTTGGAGCTAAAAAGGAACAGAAAGAGGAATGTTTGAGGATGGCTTTGTTAAATTATCTCGTTTGCTGATCATAAAGTCTTTGGGCTGCATTCGTTCCTTTTATCAGCTTGTGCTGCACAACAACCCTTGTTGTGCGTTCTTACCGCGTAACTGGGCACGCCCTTGCCTTCAAGCGTACGACATGTGGTGCAAGCATGCGGCTTGTGGTTACTCGAACGATAGTTCGTAGGAATGACTGTCTTCATGCCAGCACCTGACAGCGTGTCCTCCTCGGGCAAAGCATCGGTGATTATGAACGAATACTTCCGTGTTTCTGATATTTTCTTTTTTACCACCATTCAATTTTTACGCCTCGTCTCAGGTTTTTCAGCCCAAAGTGCGTTTACTTACCTTTTCATAGCACAGCAACTCGTTTCGCCTTGAGAGCGGTACCAAAAATAGGAATGATAACAATGGCGCAGAAAAGAGCTGCCCTTGAGGACAGGCCCGTTAGGTGCCCGGAACAAGGCTCCTCGTCTTTTACATCAGAACGGTAAACGCCGCAGAAATGGAGGAATGTACTCAAAAACGGGATGCGTCCCGAACACTTTTTCATGCTCACATACTTTTAATTCCTGCCCAGTAAATCTTAAGTACCACCTTGCACACCTGCTCAATAAAGGAGTACCCCAAGATGAGCACACAAAAGTTGATAATCGTTATCTCCCACTCCTCCATCAATGATAGACCAAATTCGGCACAGTAGCGAATATAAAGCCTTGAGCAGCACGTTCTTAGCTTCTTAACGAGCATTCACAGCACCGCGTTTCGGAACGGTTATAAAGGTTGAAACGATGCGTTTTAGAGGTGGAGTGAGAAAAAAGGTAAGGCGGGAATGAAGAATTTGTCTTGCCTACGGCTTGAGCCGGCGTGCTAGTGCTGTAACAAAGAGAATGGGGCATCATACGATGCCCTATTTGTTCATAATTTTGTAACTATTTTTGCTTTAGTACTGATTCTCATCTTTTACCACGTTATCGTACATTTTTTGATCAAGGGCTGTTTCGCTCCTTTACATTTTTACTCTGTGCTACCACCAAGCGTGTTGCACCACGATGTGATTTATTTTCTATTTTACTCACCGCACCTACCTACCTGTGCTTACCACCATACCTATCCGTACCTAACCACCGTACCAGCTCCTCATTCATTTTTTATTCCTTCCTCTCTCGCTCTCATTCTCATATTCAAGATCAATGATACACTCAGGTGCCAAGCACAGCACCTTGTCCTTCATATCACCTGCATACCTCTCCCAAACCCTATCTTCAACCTTTTCCATCATCTCAATTTCCCGTCGAGGCACAAACATCCAATAATGCAGTTTAGCACTCTTCTCTTTCCGAATCTTCACAAACTCAGGATTCTTCGAGAGCAGCTGCCTGATATTTCCCTTCCATGTCATCGAATTACTGACCAAGAACAGATTGGGATGTTTGCTCTGGATGTACTGAAATATTTGGTTGCTTGTCATTTTTTTGTGCGGAGAGGATCGGATGGCCTCTTTTATGATGGTGTAATACGTAAAGTCCTTGTGCACACGTATGTTTTTTGGCATGGGAGGATGTGAGCGTATGTTTTTGTTGGCAGCAACAGTTTGTTGGTGCAAGAGATGGCAGATATGATACGAACGATGGTGCGTGGGATGGCTGTCAGGTACTTGATACGTAGTGGTAACGTGTAAACCGCCTTTGTACGCAGCACTTGAAGATAGAATGAAACGAACAAGCACTAACCACCGTTTAAGTGGGCTTTTCTGCTACAAATGATTTATTTTCGTTCTCTGCACACGGCCCGGATTTGCATGGAAGCGCTGCAATAAGTTCAATGCTCCGGCAGCAATTGGTGAGAAAGAACTCATCCAGCCAAGCTTAACATCCGTTTATCCACTAAAAGTACGCTTATTCGTACACAATCAGGCTCAGCATCCATTTATACAGCGATCACGATCTAAACATTGCCTTTTACGGACTGTGTGCGTAAAGTTTGTTTGCCGATTCATTTGGAGGGAAAAAAAGACGAGGCTTGGACAAGGGGCGTGTAACAGCCATGTGATAGAAAAGAACGCTTTCGCAAAGAAATGTGCAATTTTTTGAAATAGGTAGCAAAATGGAAATGATGTGGAGCGGGAAAGAGAAATAGACGAATAAAAGGGGACGAATTGAAAAAAATATGAAATTACGCAGAATAGATCGCTGTTTAAAGCGGGTACAGCAAGTAAAACAAAATATGCCAACGAGGAAAGCACCTGGGCCAATAATGAACAAAATTTGTACAGCTCGTTTGATCAGCAGGAACACATCATCACGGTCAGGTCGCCCATCGTTATCCTATCATCACTTCAAACCGCTGCTCCGCACCTTAAACTAACAGTTTTATTTAAAGATCCTGGCTAGGCTTTGCCTTTCCTCTCAGCATCTCGGCAGTGGCAGGATGCTTCACACCACCCCCTTTAATCAACCAGCTACTACTGATAACACTCATCTCCTCGTCCCTGCTCATTCCCAGGTTGATATGCCTCGGTGTAATCTTCTTCTTGCCCTCTGCCTCGCATTCGTGCCGCGCCAGGTCTAAAATCTCGGCGATAAAGAAACCGCACGCCAGAGCGATCGCATTTATGCCGTCACGCGCTATTCTCAGACCGGTGGTCTGCTTGAGTGAACGGCGTGGTCGCGAGCCGCCGAAGAGCTTGCGGCCGTCTACCAGGTCTTCTGCTTGAATCGGATCGCGCTTTCCTCCTTTTGCTGATGCCATGGGGTACCGATTTTTTGTATTTTTTATAGTTTTTGGACGGGATTGGAGGGAAAACGGGGGCGGGATAGAAAAACAGAAATGGCATAAACACGGGCATCAGCAGGTACGTGCTCGAACGCATCCTCAGGCATAAGCAATCGTTTTTATTTGAAGGGCCAATTGCGAAGAGAATAATAAAGGATTGCATAGGAGAGAGATAATGCATTTTTGGGAATATGGCACGGTACAGAAAGCATGGCACGAGTGCATCTCCGTGTGGAGAAATATTTGATAAATGGATTGTTTTATCGGAAAGGTACAATGGGTGAAGAATGATGAAGTGAAAGGGGGTGCATAATACGGAACAGATGGGTGAAGAGTGATGAAGTGAAAGGGGGTGTATAACAAGGGTGTGAAGCAATAGGGAAAAAACCATGGAATAAAAACTATTCGATCGGACGGATGACACGATCAGAAAGTTGAAGAACGCAGAAATACGGCAAGCATGCTCGCTCAAGACCGAGTGGTAGTACAGCAGGACTCGCAATGTTTTCATCCCACGACAAACACAGGAAATAAACGATTCGATCTGCGCAAATTACGACCAAAAAACAGGAAAAGACGGCAATCTCAAAATGCTGTGCTCTTTAGTAGCCATCATCACATTTTTGCCAGTCTACAACGCGCCGTGTCATGCCAGCCCATCACTTCTTAGCAATCCTGTTGCTATCCATCAAATCTCCTACAAGGAAATAATTCGTGCCCTTCCATTCGAAACGGAAGACTCTCCCCTTCTTGCCAATAATCTTGCACACACCCCCGCACACCATCAGAAGTGCGCTTCTGCTTTCACCAACCACGGTGCCGCTAAGCACGCCAGCACGCAAGCGGGCCCCGGTCAGATCAACGACACGCAAGGCACTGGTAACATTGGCTGTGTGTTCCATGGCGCGCACGAATGAGTTTTGCAGTGCTTGTATCGAGTGGTTGTTTATGCTACGCCTTTTCAAGGCTGTTAACTTGGTGCTCACAGGTTTTTTGGAGGTGAGGTGGAGCACCGGTGATTTTGAGAGCGCTTTGGGTAACTTAGCGGTGTAATGAGCAACGGCATCAAATTTTTTCATTTCGGATCAGCAGGGTGAAGAATTTGGTACATTAAAAGCGATAAGCACCCTTTTTACTGAGAACACGTTCATTTACCTTCACAATACTTTAACAACACGTTTTTTAGACTGGCCGTGGCAGCTGAACCTTGGTTCATGGAGGAGATCGGTGCGCTTGCTCGCATGAAACCGTTACTAGAACCGAAAAGTGTGCCGCAAACGCGGTAGTGATCCTGGCGCACAGACCACGGCTTGTGCGAACCCTTCCTCGTGGTGGTTTTCGTACGGAGATACCACCGGCAATCCGAAGTTCAGCCAAGGAAGCGCGTTCGGCATTCGATCCATCGTTGGTGCCCTCAGAGGAGATGCCATGCGGTTCCCGTCCCATCCCTCCCATAGAACGAACATCTTACCGTGCATCATAGGTTAAATCCGTACGTATTTCGGTTCAGCAGTCCTTTTCTTCATTTACCGCTCCAAACTCACCACAACCCCAAATTGTGATGACCGATACACCAAAACAAAATTATCGTACCCATCCAACCACATGCTATACATCGGTTCTAATCCCCTGCTAATCTTCACAACACGAACGGAACCACCGCTCACCTGCTCTCTGTCTCCCCATTTTTCCGTTCATCTGTACACCGATCACACGTGCATACACGATGGTGAGGTGCACCACGTGTGCGTTGTAAGGAGGGAGTGCATTGTTTCGTTCCTCTTTACGATGCGTATGACGGTGAGTGACTTTGTTTTTGAGTGCGAGCAGGACGAGCGTAGGGTTTGGGAGGAGTACTGGAGGTGTGTGAACGGAGGTAGGGTGGGAAAAAGACTGGAATACCTGAAAAACGTAGTAGTGGCCAAGGACTGAGCAGGTGCCTTCCTAGCGCTGCCATGCTTTTGGTGTGTGGATATTTGGTTAAAGTACCGATTACGGCTTTTCATCCCGCTGCAAGGACCATTTGCTAGAACGTGTTGGTTTCGCTTCGGCGCGCACGTCACCCGAGCAGGTGCACCTTTCCGATACCTCGATCAAACGAACGGTTGCCCATTCACAGGGCACTAAAAACCTTTGGGCGAACCGCAACAAATAAATTCACTGGCACCAAAAAGGGCATCGCAGGTTCTACAAGACATTTTTATTTATCAACGTTTATTCACATCACCAAAATCTACGCCTCATATCTGCGCGCCATTCTTATTCAGTAAACGCCGAAGGGCGTGCAACGCGATTCGCGTTCTCTTCTGCACTCCGACGCTCCAAAGTACTGGCTGCTGCACTCGCTTGAGCATGACGATTCACTACCGTGTCTTGGGAACCTTCCATGGCCAAATGAACGACCTGTATCGCACTCGAACTTGCCGTAGCCGAAAATCCTACCTGAGTACAAGTTGGGTGTGTGTCTTGGTGACTCGTATGCCGGTCCGTATCCGCAATCCCTCTCTGACGAGCAACTGCTATCTCTTGATCGGCGGACTCTGAGCGTAACCTTCTCATTCACAGCCTTGCACACCCCCACGATGTACGGCCTACAGAAGTACAGGAACGGGCAGTCGATCGGACCTAAGAAGATTGGCAGGCCCAGCGTCTGACAGAGTGCAAAGTACACGTTCAATCGGCCGATTATAACCTTCATGAAGTATTGCTGCCTGTAGTTAGTGCCCTGCACCTCCAACGGGTTGAGCTTTATCCACGACCCGATAAATGTGCACTGCGCTTCAATACCAACCACGGCCGAATATACGTTAATTGCACCTTTGATGGCAATATCGCTCAAGCTGGCCATCTCCTCTGGGCACCTCACGAAGTAGCCGTTCATGTCTGCCAACAAATAATTCTTTTCACCCCTCACCTGCAGAATACCTCTCGATATGTACGGGCCAATTTCCCCACACCTGTTCCGATCAACCAGGTATTTAAATCCGCTTGTGTTGTGGATGCAGTGCGCCAACAGAATGGTGATTCGTCGGAGATCCCCTTTGAAGATGAAGAAGAATATGCGGATCATTTTGCAAATCTCCTGGGTGGGCAGACAGTCATTCTCACGCAGGAAGCAGCACACGCCCTGGATGTACATCTCAACATCGAGCGGCTTGCATGCCGATGCCGATGACGGTGCACATTTGCTCCTTGCCGCTGTAAAGCACGGCACGATGCATTCCTTCGTGTCGTCGCAGCGCGCCTTTTCCCACACGCATTTATGTGTCTCAGCCCTGAACCTGCGAGAGTTCTCGCCAGTGAGCAACGCATCGCCCAGCTTTAGATTGCATCGCCTCGGCTCAAAGCACCCGTCATCACAGCATTCATTGTCCGCCTTCTCCATGTAATCAAGGTTCGAAGCGTAGTAAAGCGGTAACAACAACGAAATAAGAAGTGTATGTTGCATGTGCTGAGCGCACTTGTGCCATTATATACTTTTAAATTGATAAATTGCTGATTGCTTGTAATTAACTTTTAATTCCATCTGATGGGAGTGATGTGATAAATTGGGACGCGATGTAGCGGTGCAAATGATGTGCAGAATTGAATACGGCTCGGTGGTGTGGATCGGATGGGTGTGGATCGGATGGGTTGAATCGGATGGGTTGAATCGGATGGGTTGAATCGGATGGGTTGAATCGGATGGGTTGAATCGGATGGGTTGGATCAAACGGGGGTGATTGATTAATTTTTTGTGATGGGTGGTTATGAACGGGAACGGTGCCGGGCACTGCTACAGAACATGAAAATGGGGTAGAACGTAGTACGGCAGTCTGTGTAAGCGATGCCTAGGACACGGTGATGCAATAATGGTGCTAGAGAACAAACATCAGAACAATATTGCAACGGAGCTGTAGAATAATACATGGCATGATTACACGGTAACCGAGATTATTCGTGTTGTTGACTGCCAAACGGCCTCTTTCCTTACGAGGGCACAAGCATTTGCACCGTGGTACCGAGTAAATTACCTTGAAAACCTTTCGTAGCAATTAAAATGGTGTTTTATCGTTTGAAACGCGAGCATAGGACGGGTATTTGCCCACTTGTATTGATGAAAGGTGCATTACAACGAAAGTGTGTCCATTGCAGGATTTAAATGTTTTTATCGTTTGCTTCCCAAAAGATGCCTCCCGTGCAAATCGTTCATTGGGTTTAATACGGAACAAAAATGGAAACGCTCACGGTTACAGGGATTAGGAGTGCAGCTCGCTTTAAAACCTTTATTCATACAATTAACGTAGAGTAGACAGAAAATAGTGAAACGTATGCCTGTTATTGCCACTTTCTTTTGTTCTAACATTTTGTTGATATGTGTGATCCACTTGCACGGAATACTACGCGTTTCAGGGCGGCAGACTGTTTCATAACGAAATCTGTACGGTGTGGTTGGTCGTGTTCACAAAAACGCTATTCTGCTCCCACAGTTCAGTGCGCAGTTGCTTGCAATTCATACAAGCTAATCACTTCATGTTTGTTCGCGCCAAGGTGCTCGTCTCATAAAACATCATTTTTGCAATAAATCAGGCAATTTATCACATCACAGCGTTGTTATGACGTAAACAAAAATGTAAATGTACGTATCGCGAGATACGTAGCAGATCTGCACTTGTATTTGGTATTATGTGCGAACGTGTCCGTTTCATTTTTACGTGTACACATCGAAGCGGTAATTTGAACATTTTAAAGGCAAATCTTAACACCATGGCACGATGTTCCTCACACCCGGTGCTCTTGGAGTATTTTGTTACCCGCCATTGGGCCAGTATGAAACCCGAAAACGAAGATGCAGGCACAAAATCAATGAAAGGGAGTTGGCAAAGGAATGGAGAGACAGAATCGGCTCGTAAAATGCATTAAGCAAAATAGAGGAGTGAATCAAGTTAAAAGCTCTGTATCATATTATTTAGCATCGATCTGTTGTTTTGTGTTCAAACGGGGTGCGATGCGAAAATTAAATCTGTAATTTACGCTCAGAAATGATTAATTCATTGCTGGATAGAAGAGAAATTGTGCAATTACGCTCGTGTTTATCCATATTTGTGCCGTATTGCGCTTTGTTTCTATTCCAGGTTCACAAGTGCTCATTCTCTGCCAAATATTTTCAATGCGCTAATTTTCTTCACCTACCGCTTACCGTGGGGCAAACCACTCTTTTACACGCGTTGATATCGCACCACGGGTGTTTACGCGATAAAATGATTTGAGCGTTTAGCTCGTGTGCCGGAGCTGCCACGTCTTTACAACACGTTCAGTGCTGTAGCACGGTACGTTTGAACCGTTGCAACACTTTCTACAACTACGCTCCTCAGGTGGTGCGCCATGCACACTCTCGCTCGTTCCTTGCTGTGAAGAGGCAAACGTTAAAACCACAACAGCTCACCGTTTACAACCGTTTCTAGAACAGTTATCATCATTTTATCATTAAAGTGCAGCTGATGTGCTGTCCACCCGCATTCATCGCCACACATCCGCTTTCATCATTTTAACCGTTTTACTTCGCAACCGCGATTACTGTGCATACCGCCTCATACCCCGGCGTGGATGAGCACCCAGCAAAAACATCACAAACGTAGGATAATAGAAATTGAAAAGTGTGTTGACACACGCGTAGAACTGCTCCAATCACCCTCAGCATGCTACGTACACCGCTGTCCAACCATTTTTCTATTCCTTCAGAATATGTCACAAATTTATACTTTACCACGGTAAACGTGCGATTTGATTGGTGTAACGTGGTCAGCATCGTGCTCCTTTTATAAGCTGGGTCAACCTGCTGCAGATAATCTTCTAGCCGTGCAAAGGATTGGTGAGTAAATTCTATTTTTATTTTTGCTGTAGTGCACGGGCGGTGCTGTCACGATCAGATACCACGAATATTTCGTGATTGCACCAAAATACGAAAAAAGGTGACGTACCGTTAGGATCGGAGCAAAAAAATGAAGACCGCTTTATGAAAATGCCTTGGACCAGTGGCGCTTCTCATCGCTTCGCCCACGATATCTTTGATCAAGCGGGGTGCTTTATCCAAAATTGCCACCGATCCACGCACTTCAAACAACCAATTACGCCCCGTTCTTGGCAATCCTCCAAAACAATTGTCCCTCATGATCCACCAATAGCACACCACTTTCTAAAACTGCCCTCTCATCGTGTGCCAAATAACATTTGCGTAAGTATCCTTGGCTGTTGCTCACCCTTATGAACCAGCAGTACGTTAAGGACTTGTTAGGCTCATCGAAGTATGATGAGGCCCTGGAATATCTTCACGGTGTTCTTGGGCGGTATGAGAAACAGGAGGGGGATGTTGAGAGCGACAAGGAGAATCCTCCTCGTGAAGATAGGAACAGAGACAGAGACTGGAATGAATATGGGGAAGCAGACGAAAAACACGGTGGGAGTAGGAGATGCACGAGGAAAGCAGAATACATGGAGAGAAAGGAGCGTGTGAAGGAAGAGGATTACATGCGTGCAACGAAGGAAGAGCATGTAAACATGGATGACAGACAAGACTCTACGGACGAGCAGAACGACACGCTTACCACCATATCAGCAATACACGCTCTACTTGGCGCGATCTACCTCAAAAAGAACGATAACCACCATGCAGTAGCTCATTCCACCCGATCAATCCAAACACTCGATCAGCCCCTTGCCTTATCAACGCTCACATCCGCATACATCAATCTGAGCGACTACCACTCAGCCTTGCGCTACTGCAAGCGGTACGGCAGAGTAATAAACGATTTTGAGGCAAAGTGTCGGTGTGCTGCTCTTTGTATCATGGTTGGTGATTATGAATGGTTGGGAGGACTGGTCAGGGAAATGGGACAGGATTACGTGGACATGTGGGTTAGGATGAAGTGTGATGAGCAGGGGATGAACGAAGAGATGGAGGAATGGGAGTGTGAAAATGTGTGTGCGTTGGATGATGGGGTGCGTAGAGATGATGTTTTTCTGGTTGAGGTGGTGAATGAGGTGCCTGGTGATGAGGAAGGTGGGTGTATGAGGAGCGAGAAATATACGCGTATGAGTGATGAGGGAGACAGCAAGGTGCATGAAATGGTGGCCCGTACCGGCCCGGATAATGCGAGCTGCGATAAAATGAACGGAGACACGGCGTATGGCCGTACTGTGCACGGTGCGGATCATAGCGAACTGCTCAATGAAACAATTCCTTACGGTCAGGTAAGCACAGATGGCACGGCCATGACAATGAACAGGCGAACAGTGCTGTCGATGTGCACGCTCCGCTTGAACACTCTCGACCCCACTCCTGAAACTGATAGGGAGTACTTCATGGACCTGTATGCCGATCAGCTGGGCAATGGCCTGTTTGTTCAGGCGATCAACACCCTCCAAAAGATCTACAGCCTTGGAGAGCCCGCACTGCTCGTACCTCATCTCATCAAGACAGAGCAAACGGCTGTGCTCAAAATGGTTCTGCGCACACACAAATGCACATGCATCCAGAACAGCGTTGTAAAGATCCTCAGCAGGATTGCGTGCAACCAGAAGAGGAGTAAATATGAAATGATCCTGTTTATGTTGGTTAATGGGCGTACGGAGATGGTGGATGAGTTGCTTTACGTGGTTGAGGAATACATAGAGGGGGATGGCGGGGATGAATGTGGATGTGAGACGGATGAGCT